ACCCGATAATATCCTCTCTGAACAATCATTACTTAGACTGAGTCTTAGGCTTACAAATGGCAAAGTATGTTTTGTGCCTCGGAAAGGAGGGGAGAAAAAGAAAGGGAAAGGGAAAGAAGCTAAGGAAGAATGTGATGCAAGCAGTGACCAGGGTAGTGAGGAGGCTAGTGAGGGTGCTACCACCTCCAGTGATTCTGAGGGAGATAAGGAAGAAGAAAAAAGTTCTAACGGAGAGAAAAACAAAGAAAAAATACTTGAGGGAGATGTGCAAGGAGAAAAACAGGAAGATTCTGAGGGGGAACATATGGAAGTTTCTGAGGGGGAAGCTCGAAAATCTGACTTACATGAGGGGCAGGGAACTGATCAAAGTGAGAGGGAACATACCACAGACTCTGAGAGCACAGCTGGACCACCTGTCATTCCTGTGTTTACAGGGGGCCTTAGAAGGAGTAAGAGGAATGTGGTCAAGCCTGCCCTTTCTACTACACACCCTGTGACTGTAGAAACCATCAGCTCCTCAGACAAATCTGATTCCACCTTCAAACCTACCCAAGTTCCCTCTTCCACTGAACCCTCTTCTATTCCTGTCTCACCTACTAGGCAGCCTTCTCATTCACCTTCTCCTCCTCCATTTCAGCCTACTGGCTTTGCTGCTTTCTCTGGAACTCGTGTGTCTGTTTATGATTTTCAACAGGTTCAAGCAGATATGGAGAAGTTGACTACTCTGGTGAGCAAGAAACTGGAGGAAATGGCCTCGGAACTGCTTTCTCTTAAAGGCCAGGTGCAGGCTCTGGCAGATTCTCAAGCAACCGGATTTGCAGGCGTAGAGGCAAAGCTTGCACAGGCTGAAGGCAAGTTTAGTGAAGGCAACAAGGAGATCTTGGAAACTATCAACAGAGTAGCCTTTGAGGAAGTCGAGGAAGACTCTATTGATCCCACAAATCCAACCCTTGATCCTACCAATGCAGCCTTTTAAATCCTTGATTGCACTTATTCTAATTTCATATGTTGAACAATTTTATTTTGGTCTTGTTTAATCTCTCTGAACTTTGGTTTGTACGCCTTTATCCTTTGCTACATTCTCTATGTTCCTCTTCTATTTCCTAAATCGGAACTTGGCTCGTATTTTTCATATGATTGTGTGAGGTTGCTGATGATTTAGTACCTAACTTATTTTTGCCTTGCATTATTTGAGCTCACTATTCCCTACGTAGTCTAGTGGGAGTATAGCAAAATGTTTTTTTTCAATCTTTTGATAATGCCAAAAGGGGGAAAAGACAAACTTCATGGCGGCTAAAGTGTTTACCAAGGAACTCACACATCGAAGGTACAAACTTTTCTAAGTTAATAAAGTCCTAGTAATCTAAGTTTTTAAACTTTTTCTAAGATTTTAAAGTCTTTGTTAATTTTTTCTCTTTTGCTCAGTCTTTTTAAAATAAATACTTTTTAGCTTTTTTTTAAGTTCTTTAATTACTCTGTTTTTTTTGTTTTCATGTCTTACTTTAAATTTCTGTTGCATGCCTGGATGATTTTATTTACTTAAGTTTGTCAATGTTTGTCATCATCAAAAAGGGGGAATTTGTTGAGCCTTTTGATTTTGATGGACAAATTGACAAACTCGACTAATGAATGTTTTGAGTCTTTGGTGAATAAAGGGTTCAAGCAAAGTTCGTTCCGGAGTAGGAACTTGGATGCGGAGTAGCATTCTTTAAAAAGCCTCGTGCAAATCTCACGTTCTAGTTTTAATTGTGAGCACTCAATAATATAAAGTCGGAAAGGAACTCAATGACTTATGTTAAAGACTACTGGAATAAAAGTTAGTTTTAAAAGATAATTTCTTAAAGAAAAGATAATTTGTAAAAGTTTTAATAAAGATAATTATCGAAGATAATTATCTAGTTGTTTTAATAAATAATAAATTTATCTTTTCAAATAAAATCTTTTTAAACAAACTTTTGATAATCTTTTAAATAAATATTTGATAAAGTTAGCAAGTGGTTTTTCTGTGAGAAAATCTTTTATACGGCTAATGGTTATCAAGTTGTTAGGATAGTGGTTTAATTAGATAAGGCTAGGAAACCTCTTCATGATCACAATCTGTCAAGATAACTCCACAAGTTGTTAGTGGGTTGTTGACATGTGGACGTGATTATGGTGGAGGTTAATGACTAAGCCTTCTCTATAAATACTCATGCAAACTATCTCAGTAAAACATAACTCTTGAGCATAAAAATTCCAGTAGCCATCTAATAACATAAAGAGAGTTATTTTCCTTCATATATTCTTGAGTGCAATAGGTATTTGTAATCACAGATTGTATTCAAGTACTTAGGGGTTGGGATTGTGAGTTTGTAAAGTGAGGTCAAGGAAGCTTCGTTGCTGAAGTCTTCTGTGAGAGTTGGGAACAAGTTCCTAATTTGTGGAACTTGTTAACGGGTTTGAATCTTCACTTGTAAAGAGTTTGATTACTTAGTGGAAATTTAGAAAAGCCTATATCTTCTCTCGTCACTATTTCATTTAGTTAAATTCCGCAAAAAGTTTTTAGATTTCACCTCAAATACAATTCACCCCCCCCTCTTGTATTAGCCAGTTAGACTTTCACTGCACATGTCAAGCAGGTCAGATAATTGCTCGGCCTCAGCCTTCTGTATTACCATATCGGTTAGTAGACTGTCATCCTCTTCTGCGAGTGAATAGATTAAGTTTTTCCTCCTGAATATAACTTCCAATACCATAGCTATACACGTCAGCTTTCTCTGTTATCCTGCCACCTAACCATTCACGTGCAAGGTATCCCGGAGTTCCCCTCATTTGGGTCATTACAAAACTTTCATCCCTGTCAATTAATGTCGCGAGGCCAAAATCTGACGATCTAGCATTGAATTTATCATCTAGGAGGACATGTTGGGGCTTCACATCTAGATGAGCTATTCGCTTATGACAGCCCTCATGCAAATACGCGAGTCCTCTAGCAATGTGCAGAATAATCTTTTTCCTAGTATCCCATCCAAGGTTTGTTTCTAGATTACTATGGAATATCCACTTATCCAACGATCCATTGCTGATGTACTCATATATCAGAAGTCTATGCGTGTCTTCAGCACAAAACCCAAATAGCTTTACCAAATTAACATGGTGTATGTTTCCTATAGTCCTCACCTCAGCCGCAAACTCTCTTCTTCCGTGGCCTATGTGATCCAAACGTTTCACTGCAATCTTGGTTCCATCACTTAACATGCCTTTAAAAACCGAACCACAGCCACCATGTCCAAGTTTTCTTTCCGTGTTGAAATTGTCAGTTGCAGTCCTCAAAACTTCATACGTGAATCTCATAGGGGAGTTGGGTAGTAGAAACAAAGGATCCTCTGATCACTCTAAATCTACCCTATCCTCTGATCGATGCTGCCTCTTTCTGTACATTCTTATATGTATCCACAATAATATGAATATAACAGGAACTACAATGATTGCTATCAGTAGATGTAGGGGTACTCGGACTTTAGGGACATGTTTTGGTATAAAAGGGCTTGGTGCTGGTGCAGAGACCGGTGATACGAGGTTAATAAACTCAAAGGTTACTCTGCTCGAAACTGTCACATCTTCCATCTAAGATAAAAATGAACGCCCTGCAAGAGCAAAACATACAGATAAAATGGTGACCAACATCAGTCTTCTTTAATTATCAAGAGAGGGAAAGTGGAAACTGAAAGAATTACCTGCAGAAGAAGGGACATCAATGACCTGACCAGCTTGGAGCTAGGAAGGATCATCTAACCGCCATGCAGCGACTGAACTCAATGAAGCAATAAAAAATCAGAAAGAATGGTAGGAAGTACTCAGGAACATCCATCTTACAAATTTTTATAGTAATTCAAGCTTTTATCATTAGTTTAGTAGTTATAAATTTTCAGCTAATATTATTACAGGAGATTTGATCAGCTGAAATAATTTAGACAGGGTCAATTCGCTTACCTCATATACAGTATATTGGTTGGACTTAGACATGGTCAATTGCTTCCTTTATAGTTTACATAACCACCGGACTAGTAATGATTAACGAGTCTTATGATATCTATGTATACCAACCACGTTGAAATGACTTCGTTGTCTAATGATATCTTATACTCTTCCTACTAACGAGATATCTCTCTCTCTCTCACACACACACACACACATACCATAGTATCTTTAACGTACAACCAATTCTATCTGAATCAAGGCTATTTTTTGCTCATGCGCTCATGGGCAAATAAATAACTTAAACTGTACCATACACAAAGTAAAACCACACATAGAAAATTACCTTCCATGGTTAATTGGCATAGCTAAACGCACCCGATTACCCACACTCAAAACCAAAAATTTTCAATAAATATTCAACTATCACTGAATCCCAAGTTGACTCAAACTTAGACCCAAACAGAACCAAATAGCTCATCAAATCACCCAAATACGATGATTCGAAGATTCGTACTCAATTAAGCCGAACCAAATTGGGTCTGTTTGCCCCTTCTAGTTAGCAGTAGTTTTTTATGGCAAATATACTCCCATATAATGTCCTTTGCTACACTGACTAACAGCTTCAGTTCGCCGGGGTTAGAAATTGTAGTCCTCTTGAGCATCTTCTGATTCTACACGATAATTCATGGTGCTACTGTAAATTCTCGACAGTTTGTGTTACCGTCTTTATGAGAATCTCAGTTTTGGTTGCTTCATCTTGGATTCTACCATTCTCTTTGTTCATGTAGAGCTCAATATTCTTATGGACATCAACGGAAACTGTTCGAATATATATATGACCAACACTATGAAATTCGACTATTTTTAGAAATTATGAAATTGTTTCCCTTTTCAACCAAAGAACTTGATTGAAAAAGTGGAAATTAGTCAAATTTACAGTATATATAGTCTGAAATTCATAAATATAAGATTCTTGAAATTTTAAAAAAGACAAAATACATTTCAAGCTAACAAAATTCATTATAGAAACTGGAGTCAACACCTTATATTAAGAGTAATTTTATAATTGAACTACATTATGCATTATTCCCATAGCCTACTAAAAGTCCTAATATTCATCAAAGTTCTAAAAAATGCCTACAATTTTTTTTTGGGAAATTTTTAGGCACTACTAACAGAATCTCATCATACACTTAAATCAAGCATAAACATTAGACAAGAGGCTGTCAAAAGGAAGATACACATTTAGGCAAGTGCCTACCTCATCTTGGACCTGATAGAACAGAGTCAGAAATTTCTGTCATCAACGGGCTTGTCAAAGAATAGTTATCAATATCCTCGAGGATCGTTACACCCTCTAAAATTTTCACCACCATTGACATGGGAGGCCGCCCTGCTGGTTCACTGTGCAAACACCGGATTGCAAGACTTATGGTCTTCTCTATATCTTCATAGTTGTCAAGCATATCCTCGCTGCATGTATCAAGCAGATCGAGTAGCTGACTCTCCTCTTCTTTCTTTTTCACCTGCATTATTAGAGTGCTTTCTTCAGGGTGTGAGCAGTCCAAGTTCTTCCTCCCGAAAATTACTTCTAACACCACAACTCCATAGCTGTAGACATCTGCTTTCTCTGTAATCTTCCTTCCTAACCATTCAGGAGCCAGGTACCCTCGAGTTCCTCTCATTTGAGTCATTACGTAATTTTGATCTCTATCAATCAGCTTCGCTAGACCAAAATCTGATATTTTGGCATTGAACTCATCATCTAGAAGCACGTTTTGGGGTTTTACATCTAGATGTACAATCTTCTTGTGGCACTCCTCATGTAAATAAGCGAGCCCCTTGGCAATGTGGACAATGATCTTTTTCTTGGTATCCCAAGTGAAGTTATCTCTTGAGTTGATGTCAAAGATCCATTTATCTAATGACCCTTTGCTCATGTACTCATACACCAAAAGCCTATGCGAGTTTTCAACACAAAACCCAAGTAACTTCACTAAGTTGAGATGGTGTATGCTTCCCATAGTACGCACCTCTGCCAGAAATTCCTTCCTTCCTTGCCCAAGACAATCCAAACGCTTAACTGCAACTTTGGATCCATCACTTAAGCTTCCCTCAAATACAGTTCCCAACCCACCTCCTCCAAGTTTCTTATGCATGTCAAAATTGTTTGTAGCCATTTTCAAGGCTTTGTAAGTGAACCTCGTTTGAGAGTCGGGTGCCAGCTGGGAGTTTCCCCATTGCTCTAGATCTTCTTTGGATTCTGTCTCGTGCCTTTTCTTTTTATATATGTATACAAGAATCCCCAATCCAACAATAGCAATCGAGGGAACAAGTACTCCAGGTATAATCTTAGCCATCTTCCCAGAAGATCTATCACTTGCAGCAGTGGTGTTTGGAGTTGTCCCATTGGTAGTACTTGTAATAGGCTTAATATTCCTATTCCCACTGGTCAAAACAGTCACCGAGGATCGGAAGCTTGGCACTTGCCCTCTAAGATCATTATTAGAGACATCAATTTCTGTCAGCTGGGACAAGGTTGTTAAACTATCTGGTATAGTACCAGTCAATTTGTTATCATTCAAGTACAATTGACGCAGATATGTCAACTGTACAAGTGCTTGGGAAATGTTTCCACTGAATCCTTGCCTGGATATATTAATTGCAGTGACATTCCTTGAGGCATCACAAGTCACAAATTCCCACTTGTTACACACATCATTACCATGCCAAGCCTCAGCAAGCTTCAAGGGATAACCCAAAGCTCCAGCAACCTCTAGTAATATCGATACATATGGATCACATTCCCCCGCAATATCCTTACAGAACGAATTGTTCTCAAGAGCACCTGTCAATTGTTTCGGATAAGATGGAAACGGGCCTTGGAGCTTGTTGCTATGCAATGAGATGTTTACTAAGTACAAGGATATTAAGGATGGTGGTATAGGACCGGTCAATAAATTGTTGTCCAGTCTTAGATTAGAGAGACGAGTGCAATTAGAAAGGTTAGGGATGGTACCAGTAAAATAATTTTTTTGTAGCCAGACTTCACGTAAGCGGGTCATCCATGCAAGTACATCAAGGGTTCCAGATAAACCCATGTGCTGATTATCGAGCTTCAAGTTACGAATCCGACTCCCATGAAAAGAAAAAGGGAGTGACCCTGTCAAGTTGTTACATGACAGCCTCAAGTTTTGCAAACTGGTGAGGGAGCTGAAGATATCTGGTATCTGTCCTATGAGATTGGCATTGCTAGCAAAATAACCCACCAAATTAGGAGAGCTAACCAACTCAGCAGGGAAGCCCCAAGGACGGAGACTCAGGTTGTCTTCCAAGGACAGAATTCTGAGGCTGCTTAGGCCAGAAAAGGCACCATTTGGTACAGACGTGAAATTGTTGGATTCCAGGTGTATCTCTTGGAGTAATGCGAGGTTATTAAAGGAGGGGAGAGGCCCGGAGAGCTGATTGCCTTGGAGAAAGATTCCACTGAGCTGAGAGAGGGAGCTTAGATTGGAAGGGAGAATACCACTTAGATTAGATGAGGGATAGCTGATAGATTTTACAAAGCCATTGTTATCACATATTACTCCCTGCCACATGCAAAACTTGTCCCCTGACCAACCAAAAGGATGCCCGAGTGTAGTAGCCAAACTCTTCATGGCAGCTCCATCAACTGTTGTTGAGAAAATAACAAGGGTAACTAACAGAAAAATAAGAGTAGAGAAATGAACACAATACCTGTTAACATTGAGAATTTGTGTGTACTTACAACTACTGCATGATTACAATTACAATATCGGTGGTAAACATAGAAAAATTGCGATGAAGTACCTTGAATTTTTAGCACCATAGTGACTTAACACTTTCAAAATATCTAAGAGGTATCCTAATTTTTAAATTTTGAGTGATAAGCAAGTCTCCAAACATTACTAAGAAGAAATGTATATCCGTTAACCTTTCTAATTTGGAACAGACCTTTACCAATAACTTTTGGGTACACCCAGGGTACAATTCCTTTACTTTACATTACCTATTTGTCGGGTAACTTTTAACTAAATTTAGGTAAACTTGGGTTGGATTAACTATAATCCATTGTATTTTTTTTAATTAAACTATCTTTGTTTCATGTTATGTGCAACAAAGACATTGACATGAACTCTTAGACAAAATTTGTTTGTATGTTAAATTGAGAGAGAAAGATAAAGATGCATATGATGAATAGAGAGGTAGATAGGATAGGAATGACAATATTAAAAGAAAAGAAAACATTTGATGTGCATAATATATAGAAACCATTTTTAGTAATTGCTGTGGGGTTCAAATGTTTAGACCCAACTAAAACATATATTACCATACCTATAGTTGGCTCAATAGACCAGTTTGTAACCTTTTACGTGTTCAGAAAATTCATACTTTGAGTGAGAACACAACGATACCTTGAGAAGGGGCAGTCGGAGGTTGAAGAGGAATATCAATGATTTTTCCGTATACTGGTTCATTTGAAGTTAAGTTGTTGAGTTTCTGCAATGTCCTCAAGTTAATTCCAAATTTAGCAGCGATCTGACCAGTGTTTGTGGCAAGGCCATTGGAGGGATGACCTGAATTGCAACACAAAAATAGAAACAACAAAAAGAGAGGTTAGTTTGGCAGTGTGTTTTCTGAAAAATAATTCATTAAATTCAGTTTAGATCACCAAGTTCCAATTCTCGGTACTCATAGACTCATAGACGTCATAGTAGTTTCAGTATGACAAATGCAAAGACAAGACCCTTCAAGTACAATTATGTTGTGTTATTCTGTAACAAGTTATTATTTTGAATTGTATGATTCTATTGTGAGTGGAACACACAGCTCTTGTTATATTTATGTATACTCCAAATTATCTTGTAGTTGTGCATACCTGTTTGTAGTTGTGCATGTGCGTAGTGCACCACCTTTTGCCCCTCTTCATCGTCGCAACTGCATGGCAGTGGAATCCACAGCTTCTGTCCCTCAATCAGCGTATCGCTATCTTCGAGATGATTTACATCCTTGACTAGTTGGTCAGTTGTCAAACTATTAAAAAGGGTTTTTGATATATAGTTTAGGTCCTTACCGCTCTCAGCCTTGGTAACAATGTGGACAGGAAGGCCATCAGAGAGGCCCGTTCCGTTTTTACAGCGACAAGGGAAGGGGATCCTTACTGTCTGACCTCTGTAAATCAGAAAATTACGAGGGGTAGAAGGAGGCAGGAAGTTGGTCAGCAAGAGGGAGGTCAGGCTCTTGACCTGAAACAAGAATTGGATGTCGCCCAGTGTAGTGTTACTCTGTGTAACATAGCCTGCTAAGGCCTCGCAAGTGGCCGTGTCTGTCATGCATTTGATTAACGATTTGTTTATTTCTAACAAGGGTGAGCACTCCTCCTGTTCTATCATGCAGTTAAATGACGATTTGGTGTTTTCAAAGGGGGGTGATGGATAGTTTGAACAGCATACGGTTTTGAGATTCAAAATAAACACTAATAATAATGTAATAAACTGTTGAGCACCCATTTCTTTTTAATACTATTAAACATATAATTTATGCAATGCTATGTACATTTTTCTCTAAGATTTTGAGAATAAGAAAATATAAAGATGGAAGTATGTCAAGTAACCCAGAGTCCCAGAGAGTACGTGTTTTAAAGGTCGACTGCTACTTTTTTTATCACAAAGAAGCATGGGGTTGACTGAGTAGAAATGTAGAATCAATAAATTGGACTGCTATTGATTAGGTACCTATATTTCCCTACATTGGCAAAGTTTTTGACAGTATTGGCATTATTTGAGACGGCGAAGCCTAAATTAAATTGCGTCCACAACCCAAAAAACAAAAGAAAAAAAAAAAAAAAAAAAAAACTAAGCATTGCATTTCTCTTACATATACTTGGAGCAACTAGCCCCTTAGAACACTGAAGACTTGACCATAAAAAAAAGCTGATGTGATTGATCTGTAAGCTAGGTGATGGAGCCCATCATAGACTTCATAGTCCTTACAATTATTTAACCGTGTAGAATGGAACCTTACATTTCCCATCATAGTCCTTACAATTATTAAACCGTGTAGAACGGGACCTTACATTGCCTGGTTATTTTAACTAACTAGGCATGACTCATAGAACAAATCAAAATACTCTGAATTTTATGCCATCGGTGCAATAATTAATGATCCATCATGTACCCATGGCTCCAAGTCCATACGTACCAAAGGCTATTTTTGCTCATTTGGATGGCTCTCAAAGTCTTGACACTCAAAACATAAACCTAATGAGCAACAAAATAGCCATGGATCAAGCACATAATGGATAATTTCTGCTCCTAAACTGTGATCATTAAACCCAAAATCACAGTAACTAGTAGGACTGCAGAAGTCAGGGAGACGGAAAATACTGAGTCCGTCCTAATATCCCCTTTCACATCTTTTAGCTTTAGTATCAGTCATTGCCTAAACGTTAGACACAGACTCATTACCAGCTTTATATAGTGTGTTAGAATACTGACTTACTGAGGCATCATGTATACAGATCACAACAGCATCTGATCCAAGCCCAAACATCTTGTCAGCTACAAGACTCGTCTTCAGTTAAAACTACACAGCAAGCCAACATATTGTTTGTTACAGTAAACTATGCCAAAATGTAGTTAGCAGAATTGTAATTTGAAGTAAAAAGCCATATCTTATAGGGCTTATATAAATGATCCCAAGGCAATCTCAGCTCACCATCTCTCTGGTAATTTTCCCAATCTATATCTGAAGCTATAGATAGTGTAAACTACATTAGTACATTACTAAACATTTACTTAGATGTACTCTACTACTTAGATGTACTCTACTACTTCTCTCAAAAAGAAACTCTACTACTTTAGTTACCATTTACCAAGGGTGTTGTTATTCGTCGCTCGCAATTTACCACCCGTCGCTCGCTTTTTGGACATGAATTTCCTAATTTGCCCCTTGCTTATAAATAGTCACGAAACTCACGGACTTCACATTTGACGCTAAAATTCTCTCTCTAAAATTCCTATTCTCTCTCTAAAAATCAGAATTCAAAATTTTGTTTTTTTAATTTTTGGAAAAAGAAATAGTTTGTGAAATTTTGAAAATCAAAACCCAAAAAAACAACAAACCAACAATAACAATCCGAAATCACTGCAATGGCTGACGGGCGGCGGATTCGGCTGACGTACGGCGGTCGTGGCGGCGGTAGAGGCGGCGGCGAGCAGGTAAACGTCGTTTTTTTTTTAATTTTTTTTTCTGGAAAACAGGGACATCCACCTGAAATTTCCGGATGTCCCATGGAACTTCCTGATATTTTTGTGAGCAATTTTAATTTCCACTCAATTTACAATTTTTGTATTTTTGTATTTTTGTGAGTAATTTTTTGTTTGTGTAATTTGTTTTTGTTTGTGATTCTTTTTTGTTGTTTGTGTGTTTTATTGTTGTTTGTGATTTATATTGTTTTTTGTTTTAGGGTTATTTATGTTTTTAATGTTTTTTTTTTGGGTTGTGTATATTATTTTTGTTTGTGATTTTGTTGATTTTGTACGTATTTACTGTAGATTGAGGGTTCGGGATCTCGTCACGTAATATCTAGACGTTTGAATGCGTCAGTTAGGCGGGATTCAAGCCGTTTAGGAAATACGGTCGAACCGTTTGATCACCAGCAGCAATATGGGTCCGCTGGTAACTGGTCGGGGGACCAGCAGGCACAAAGCAGCCTCCCCATGTACACTACAAGAAAAGAGCCAAATTCCGACGGACATATTCCGTCGGAAAAAGGGAAAAATTCCGTCGGAAACGGCCTTTCCGACGGAATTCCGTCGGAACAGGTCTGTCGCAAACCACTTCGTAGGAAATTTGGGATATTCCGAGGGAAATTCTGTCAGAAAACAATTTCTGACGGAATTTCCGACGAAAATCATCCCGTCGTAGAAGAAATTGACTTTCAACGTCAGTCCGTCGGAAAGTTCCGATGGAATGTTCCTCGGAAATTGTCGTCGGAACAGTAACTTTCCGCCGGATAAATTCGTCGGAACAGTTAACCTTCCGACGAGTCTTTCCGTCGGAACATATATTATTCCGACGGAATATTCCGTCGGAAGATTAACTCTTCCGACGAAATTTTCCGTCGGAAGGGTTAACCTTCCGACGGAATATTCCGTCGGAATTATAACTCTTCCGACGGAATTTGTCGTCGGAATTTTAACTCTTCCGACGAATTTGTCTGTCGGAAAGTTTGCTTCTTCCGTCGGAATTATACTGTTTTATTTTACAATTAATTGTAATTAGTCTTTCGTAACCTATAAATCCTGCACCTAATTTAAAATAAATTTTAATTTATAATTTAATTACCCAAATATTTTTATATATTAATTTTTAATAATGTATACATTGGGTCCTAGTGTCCTACTATACAACATAATCTAAATACATCTACATACAATATAAACAAATTCTAAGCTACAGCCGGAGTACTTTGCTCTGCACCGCCGCTATCCGGGTCGGGGTCTCGAGGTTGATGCGGAATGTTGGAACATTGGTCGGTGTTGGAGAATCGACGCATCATCTCTTCAAACCTCTCTTGGTTTTTCCTTTCTATTTCCGTCAATCGAGCCTCCATCTCGAGTTCCATTTCACTGAGCCTAGCTTGCACCCTTTGCTTCACCCTCTGCTCCACCTGATCTTGCATCTGGGAAAGAAGGGAAGGTGTGTAATGCTGGGAAGACTTGGAACATGTACCCTTCCTGTTGGCATAATACAGCTCAGAACCTTCGCCAAGTCCCTTCACACGACCCTTCTTGTTGCGACCACCTACGGTTTCCCAGTACAGCTCATTTGGAGTCTTCTAAATCCCTTGGGTGCTTGCTTCTTCGGCTCTCTTCTGGAAGGCGTCCTACAAGATACACAGTTGAAAAGGTGCACAAAGATGTAAGTTAAATTCAGCTTTCTGAACAAAATAGAACCAAGTAATGCCTATACGACCTATTCCTTGCCTATTTCCTACATATCTAACCAAATGAACCATTTCTTTCTCATAACATGTCTATTATAGGTAGTTTTAGGTGTACATGCATTGAAAACACATAAACAATCACAGAATCAAGTTTTGGGAACGAATTGGATCGAAATAGGACCAACTGAGGCCTATGCGACCTATTCCTTGCCTATTTCCTACATTTCTAACCAAATGAACCATTTCTTTCTCATACCATGTCTATTATAGGTAGTTTTAGGTGTACATGTCTTGAATTCACATAAACAATCACAGAATCAAGTTTTGGGAACGAATTGGACTAAAATAGGACCAACTGAGGCCTATGCGACCTATTCCTTGCCTATTTCCTACATATGTAACCAAATGAACCATTTCTTTCTCATAACATGTCTATTATAGGCAGTTTTAGGTGTACATGCATTGAATTCACATAAACAGTCATAGAATCAAGTTTTGGGAACGAACTGGACCGAAATAGGACCAACTGAGGCCCATGCGACCTATTCCTTGCCTATTTCCTACATATCTAACCAAATGAACCATTTCTTTCTCATAACATGTCTATTATAGGCAGTTTTAGGTGTACATGCATTGAATTCACATAAACAGTCACAGAATCACATATCCAAAGTGTTATTGAAATTATTACTGCAATTTGCTGTGCTTTGGCGTTGGTTGGAACTTTGCCTTTCCCGGGCACTTCCTTGAAGTGCGTCTTCAAAAACAGCTCAGGAGCTGTCGGGAGCTGGCCTTTGTTCTTCGCCGCCTTTGGTTGAACATGCAGAGAATGATTAAGATTCAATGTTAAAGCACCTTTACACACAGTAATACACAATTCTATTTTATTTTATATGCCTTTACAACAAACTTACCATCCGTTTTACATGTTGTATAGCAGATATCGACCCTTGATAGTGGGTAGCTTCAACCGGATTTTCCATTGAGCCGCCCCTCCTATTCTTCCTGTTTTGGGCCAATCGCGCCTTGAAAGTTGGATCACTGAAAACAACTTCCATCATTTTCTTGTGGACGTCCTCATTCAGCCACCCTGGCTTAGCGCCTCTCATCTTGTGCGTGACCGTGTAGAACATGTCACGCAGCCGAGTAGAAAACTTCTTTTCAAAAGTTTGCTTTACATCCTCGGTCAGCTCAGGTGCCCAGGTGAAATCTTTCTGCAAATGATGAATTTGGTTAGTCATATACGCAACTTCGTTTCGAGCAATTTTCTTAAAACGTGTTAACTAAGTTTAAAATAGCTTACGCTGAATAGGCTCCACCAGTGTTGTTTCGTTGCTTCATCCACCTCTCCGTAATTCCGCCAAGGCTCGCGGTAGTACCCGGTCAGCGCCCTGGATACTGCACTCCTCACCTTGTTGTCGTCAAACCTACATTTAAACAACAGGGTTAGATGAACACCATTCAAAAAGTTGTATAAAACTCGTTAACACATAATAGTTAGGAGTATATAAAACCAATTCATTGAATGTATGTACGTACCAGAGCACAGTAGGGTCTAAAACTGGCCTCGTAGAATGATCCTGTGTCTGATCTCGTTGTGAGCTGGAAGAATCCACCTGAGTATCATTATTAAAATAAGCTAATTAGGAACAACCTTGAAATATTGGTGCATAAATGTAGAGATTGGACTAAGACTGAAATAATGCTGAACACAACTAAATATATAATCAATATAGAGAGCATACATACCTGAGTTGTACCCAAATCATGTGCATCCACATCCGCCATGTCCTCATCCGAGTCGACGGGCTCCATTGCCCGTTCACCTTTATCTGTACCGCTACTCATGTTCACCTGAAATAGTTATTAATAACTTGACATCATATTAAAATTTACAAGTGTAATACAATGAAATAAGCTAATTTCAGCGTAAAAGTAATGATTTATTAAAAGACCATTTTCTGTTTTACAAAAACAACCAAAATGAGCATCGAAAAGTAACATATCCTCCTATTCATTAGTGTCATCACTACTATCACTACTGGAATCATCACTACTATCATCTAATAATACATCGGTATCATCATCCTCAAAACTATCACTAGAGTTGATGCTAGATTCATCATCTTCATCGCTTGAGACAATAAAACCAACGTCATCATCTTCATCATCGTCATCCACGACGTAGTCTGGAATATCATTCGGCGGGCAAAGCGTTGAATGTAATTGTGGAGATGGTGCCTGCAAAAACTCTAAGTCCACCGGAGCATCCACCACTGACCTTGCTTGTGTTTTAAACACAGTCCACCATTGAACTCGATCCCGTTTCAGGCTAGGGTATGATGCGTAATACACTTGATCCACTTGGTAAGATAAAACAAAGGGATCATACTTGGGGTATTTCTTAGTATGATTCACTTCGACAAGCTTGTACAGTTCATGTATGTTCATTCCCCTACCACAATCAAACAACTACACTTAAACAAAATAGTCTTGTACTCTTTTTCGGGACCAGTGTAGACCAGTTCAATAATGTCGTCCAGAATGCCGAAGTACTCTCCACCATCCTCACTTGATACGCACACGCCATAATTCATCGTAGATTTGTGCTTCCCATGGGCATGTGTATGGAAATTAAAGCCACCGACAAAAATCTGCTTTCAAGTTCTAACACGCTTGAAAGGGCGCATGCACAACGCTCGTAGCACATCAGAATTTGTGTCCTCCTCAACAACCTATCCACGTTTAGAATATAACAGTCACAAATCCCTAATTGAACGAATTGGAATAGTAAGGAATATTAAATCATAATGTATGTCATATTTAGACAATTTATATCACCTTGCGATGAAACCAATCGGAGAATTCAGCTTCGCATTTCTCCATTACTTCTTCTCTACGCAGATTAGGTCGACTACTAAGAATGTAGTCCTCGAACTTCCTACGAGGCACATAAAAAAGGTAAATCAACATTGTTATCATTTAAGTTGTTCACAACTTTGAACATAGTTCAAAGACCAACATTTTCTACCTTTCGTATTCACCAAGAATCCCGGTGTTCCGTAACACGAACAAATGAGCGCACTCGAGTTCTTTTTCATCTAAAAACCGAGTTTTGCCCTCATTAGACACACGACCGCTATCCTCCGTGAACAACTCTGGAATCTCAGAGTCGTCCACTGTGGAGTCCACGTCGGCATTCACATTACGACCGAGATCTCGTGTTTTAGTGTCAACCGTCGCCTGAAAGTAGTTACTGCAGAAGTTTGCTATCTCTTCGGTGGTATAAGCAATGCAAATGGATCCTTCAACTCGAGCCTTGTTTCCAATTTTTCGTTTCAAATGATTGAGGAACCTGCAATCATAGTTATGTAATTGTATATACACGACATGACATTGAATCTGATGTAAGAAATATGATGTGCATGGGTCTTTGATTTACCTTTCAAAGGGATACATCCATCTATACTGAACAGGACCGCATAACTTCCCCTCATATGGCAAATGAATAGGTAAATGCTCCATGGAGTTAAAGAATGCAGGGGGGAAGACCTTCTCAAGCTTGCACAAAATCTCAGCTATGTTTTTCTCCAATCGCTCCATGTCACCAACTGATGTTGTATAGCAACACAAATCGCGAAAGAATTGGCTGATCTCTGTTACTGCATTCCAAATATGGCTTGGGAGCAATTCCCTTAGAGCAGTAGGCAACAACCTCTCCATGAACACATGACAATCATGGCTTTTCATTCCGTGTAGCTTACATGCTTGCATGTCTACGCATCTGCTCAGATTAGAGGCATAACCATCGGGAAATCGCAGCTGTTTTACCCAGTCACACAAAACTTTCCTCTGAGCCTTGTCAAGAGCGAATGGAGCCCTAGGCATGACCTATTTTCCCCTGTCATCCTTCTGAAGATGAAGCTGCGGACGTTTACAATATCTGGCAATGTCATTTCGAGCAGATGTCGTGTCACACGTATGCTTTTTCACATCCATTATAGTGTGAATTAATTGATCAAAGAAGTTCTTTTCAATGTGCATGACATCTAAGTTGTGACGAATGCGCAGATGCTTCCAATAGGGAAGCTCCCATAGGATGCTTTGCTTGAACCACCCCTTCTTTTCTTTTTTGAGGCGTTGAAGTGACTCGGGCCCATCTGTAGCCTTCGGAAGATCTTTCACACATTCCCACAACTCCTCACCTGACATAATGTGTGGAGGTGCACCTTTTTCGACTTTATTTTTGCAGAATGCAGTCCTACTATTCCGAAATGGGAGATCAGTCGAAAGGAACTGGCGGTGGCAATCAAACCAAGAAACCTTACAACCATGTTCGAGCCAAAATGCTTTACTTTTCTCCAAGCAATATGGACAAGCCTTTTTACTAGATGTGCCCCAACCGGACAACATACCATAAGCTGGGAAGTCACTAATAGTCCATAGGATGGCTGCTTGAAGAGTGAAATTTTGTTTCATTGCTATATCGTACGTATGCACGCCTACTTCCCATAACTATTTCAACTCCTCAATCAACGGTTGCATGTACACATCCAAGTTGCCCTTAGGGTTTTTAGGACCAGGAACGAGCAACGAAAGGAACATAAACTGTCTTTTCATCACATTGAAGGAGGCAGGTTGTAAGGGGTCAAAATGACAGGCCAACAAGAATATTGTCCCCCAAACTTGCCATGAGGAGCAAAACCATCTGTACACAAGCCAAGCCGAACATTACGAGGCTCGGAGGCAAACTCTAGAAAGCAACTGTCGAGGTGTTTCCAAGCTTCACTATCACTAGGGTGTGCCATTGTGCCTTGAACTCGGGGATTTTTGGAATGCCATGTCATTTCCTCCGAAATGTTCTTGGTTGTAAACAGCCTTTGCAACCTGGGTGTGATCGGGAAGTAAAACAAAACATTCAAAGGCACGTCACTACCCTTGGAAGTCTGCTTGTATCGGTCGCTGCCACACACCCTACATGTCGACAGCTGAGCATCAGCCTTCCAAAACAACATACATCCTTTCGGGCATGTGTGAATCCTTTCATGAGGCAGTTTCAAGCCCTTCACAATCCTCTTCACCTCATAGAATGCGTCGGCCATATGGTTGTTGTTAGGAATTGCTTCATTGAGCAAAGAAACAAACCCATCAACACATCTGTGGGCCAGGTTATACTCGCACTTTAGACTAGTGATTCTAGCGGCCATCTCTAGCACAGACAACGAACTCCCTTCGTATAATGGCCGTTCAGAAGCCTTCAACAAATCCAGAAAATGCTTAGCTTGTGCATTAGGCTCCTCCTCTGATGAAACACTAGCTTGCTCTGAATGCCCTTGGTCCTGACTATGACCAAAAGCATCAAAAACCATGTCACGGTATTCGTTGGACCGCCGTTCAGGAACTCTCGGAAACCCTTCCCCGTGGCACATCCACTCATAGTAATTAGGTATAAAACCCGTGCGAAACAGATGAATTTTTACCGGTTCTGGATCCCAAAGTCGTTTGTTCTTACATTTAGCACATGGACACCTAACTTCGTTCGGGTTACTACTCTAGGGATTATCTTTGACGTATTGAATGAATTCATCAACCCCTTTTACGAACTCTGGATTAATACTTTGCCCAACCCTCCTTTCATACATCCAGCTACGTTCTGTTCGTTTCATGATTACAACTTCTACACAACTCACGCATATGTATAATCACATTAGTCATAAAGCGTATTTCCTAGTCATAATCCACCAAAGTGTTATGGTAAAGCAAATGAGATTTGAAATGCTTCCAAAGGGTCCTTATCACTCCAACCTAACCCATCCTTGTACGTTTAATCTCACTAGTGAATGTAAGCCAGGTTTTCAATTCTATGGAAAATCCGTCAGCATTTCCCTGCAGTTCTCCAAGTACACGATCTAGGCGAATAAACACACCTTCATATGTACCTAGAGAACATTGTAGAGAAATTACAGGGCAGGATATTCCCAAGAATCAATAACAAGGCATACATTAACCACCTAAGTGAGAAATAGCATACAAGGACAGTCCCAACCAAGGACTATTCAAGACATACTCCTAATGTGTATGCCTTGAACGGGTATCTAGGCATATGATTATGCAATTGATTCATTAACAAAATATAAACACTAAACTAACATACATTATATTAACAACACTAACATATCATAACATCATAATATTCAAATAAACCAAATCAAACACAATCAAACTAAACTTAAACATGATAATGTTTGATAGTAGTGACGAGTCCTTTAAATGAGAAATTGTTTGTGTGTTAGTGCTGAGTTCTGTTCCTGTGCTACTGTGCATGATATATTTAATACACTGCTTATCTGACTTTGTATTTCTGATTTAACAAGGCAAATAAATATAGATGAAAGCTTGAAGTTTTGATTGATAATGGCAAAAGAGGTTACAAATGATAGGTTAATAGCTTTAGGCTATTATTACTCTCTTTGATAACTTAAGGTTATCGCTCTCTTAGTTACTCGAGGTTACCATTCTCTCTCATTCCACAGCCCACAATACAAGGCTCATACCTTTCTACTGCTATGCTCATTCCCTTTCATATTCAAGCAAAACTACAAAATAACTTAATATTAATAATGTTTGTCCGCTACTGTTCAAGACTATCAAAATTCAGTCCTATGTTGCCACACTCCTTAAGTCCCTAGTGCTTCCTTAATTAGTTTTGTCTTATCTTAGATTCTTAATTGAACCTACTGTTGGTTTATTTAGAGTGTTGTAGTGGAGAGATCTCTCCACTTGTTAGCGCGCTTGTGAAAGACAAGCGCGGACCGCTCCAAAAGCGCGACGAAATCGCGCTGAGTTTC